CAGTGTGAGGACGAGGCGAGACACGAGGAAGCCCTGGTCCGGGCCGGTCAATTTTGCATTCTGATTGGCTAACACCATATTGTCTAAAAATAACTGAACTTGACAGTTGACAATAACAATTCAACATTTGTATTTTTATACGATTCTTGTGTGTACTGTGTGCGAGTATGTTTTGCAAAATAATCTTTCAAAGTAAGACGTTTTCCCGACTGCATGATTTACTTTCGCCTCTGCCGGTTACAAAACTCAAAAGCCGTGTCGAAGTGAGCTGTGATGTTTCCTGACAAAACAAGAAACGTCTACTATTAATATTTAAGCTGTAGTTTTCCTTGTACAGTATTTATTAGTGCAGATGTCTGATGAAATACAACGCGTATTGCATTGTAGTAATATTTTAATTTACAATATTCTGTACTGACAAATAAAAGCAGGACAAACAATTAAATGAAACTACTAAATTAATTTAGGCCCTGTTTACTTAATAGCTCTACGCCTAGGCCGATGTCGATGTAGTCTCTACAAGATTCGCACGCCACCCAGTTTTTCAGTTTCAGAATACTCCGAATACTTGAAAATTGCGACTATACGATAAAATAAAACAAAGATTGTGAAGGGGATAAAATTTGTAGGCAAGCATTGCTCCTGAACGGCAAGTGTTGGTGTCCGGCGAAACAAGCGAACCGTATATTCCTGTACAGCGTAAACAGGTTACGCGAGGTTTATATTTGTGTTTATTTATATTGAACTAAGTCAGATCTATAAGAGCATATTTAAACTAAATATTAATTATAGCAATAGCCATATTGTTCAAGACGAGAGAAAGGAAATTTCGTGTGAATCACCACTTGCATGGAGACGCCTAGATGCAGCTTGGATGCAGAGCTTTGCCTCAATTGCAAATCTGTATATCTTAGAAAACATAGACGGGATCTTCATAGATTTTAGCTGAATCGTGCCAAACTTCGCTCTACACATAAATAATATTGATTGAGAAGTCTTTTGGCTATTTATTTGTTTCGAAGACTTGTATATTTCATTAAAGAATATCTCGCCACTCCTTGACGAGTAACTGTCAAATACTGCCATTTTTTGACGTCACGTGACCGGCCCGGACCAGGGCTTCCTCGTGTCTCGCCTCGTCCTCACACTGAAGCCCTGGGAACGAGGTTGTGGCTTCCCTTTACAGCGCGGCCTGAACAATTGTACACAATACGCATTTTGATGCTTTGGAAGTTTTCTCTGATTACTGCACGATGGGGCATATAATACTCACGACCGACAGGTTCAGGTGGTGCCTTTTCAACTATGCCTTGTTCCAGCTGCTCATTGATGATGTTGTTGTATTATTCGAGTTTACTAGTGTATTTCAATCTTTTGGCGGCGAAGACTAGCAATACGGTTGTCAGGAAGGGAGGGATGATTACCTTTCCAAGGCAAACTCGTTTCGTACCAACCGCCGTCAGGATCACGTGTAAGTTTTTCGCGAAATGCCTGGTGCACAACATCTTGATCACCCGTCGGAGAGTCCGCTAAATCAATAACGTCTAGAGCGCATAAACACTCATAGTATGTCGAAGAATTAACAGCTAGGAATCTAACGTCATCACTATCTAAACCCGGGGCCATTATTGCCCAACCAAAACGAGTGTGCTCAGTGATTGGTTTTCCTTGTCTACCAATACGAGGCTGAACTGACGTGCGTATTTTGGCGTATTCGTTAGCGCCCAAAATCATGTGGACCGGTAATTTCTGTTTAGTAGCCACGTCGACTAATTCGATATCACCCAAGTGAGCATAGCTCTTAGGAGCTGTTTACATGAGCCCGGCTAGCCAGAATGAGACGTTTGCCGGGCTGATATGCATGCTGACGAAAATTGGCGGGAAAATCTTGTTTATGAGTTAACAGTGTAACGTCTGTCACGGAAGTCGAATTTGTGCTTTATTGGCAAATTTAATCGATTAAATCTACTTTGTCAGCAAGATTAATTGAAGAAATAAAACTTTGTCAAGAAAAATATCAGTTTCTGTCTTTTATTTTTGTTTTAAATGAAGTTTTTGTTCTAGCCCGGTTGCCCGGGCTGGATACTTTACATGGAGAAATTTCATCCCTGTCACAGGAGATTCGCCCCCCCAGGAGATTCGCCCCCCCTCTCGAAAGGGGGGCGATATTCCTAGGATATTCGCCCCCCCCGGGGCGAATCTCCTAGGAATATCGCCCCCCCAGGGGGGCGAATTTCCTAGGAATATCGCCCCCCCTTAGGAATTTCGCCCCCCCATATAAATTTTGAATTTTTGATCTAAAAACAAAACGATTGCAAGTTGAAAAGATTTATTGTGTGATTTATTTATTTATTACAAGGAGACAAAATCACATACACATTTTAGGCTTCTCAGCAGCTGGTGGTGTGCACAGTCTGCATAACCACTCATTTGAGGTACTTAGACTAGTGTCATATTCTACACATCTAAAGAGGAACCATCACAGAGATCGCATAAAATCATGTTGTCGTATTCTTCTGGCAGTTTACATTCACATAACATATTATAAAAACAATCGCTTGCAAATTTTATCAATATGAGTGTTAACAATAGCCGCCACAGTAATCACTTGCTAACAATAAACTATAGGATTAGTAAAAAATCTATGGAATGTGTTGGGAAGCGTATTGACTATTGTCCGTTGAATCGTCAACTTTCTGTGTCAGTGATGTAATCTTGATTCTTCACTTCCGCAAAGAAAATTGCATTATATATGTGGCGTGGTTTATTCAAATAATTGAATGTTACTTTGATTTTATTAGTGCATGCCTTAAACATTTGAGAATGTAACTTTGCAAAACTAAAAGCTTTCTTGTCTTTTTTGAAACGTATATGATTGGATTATTGCCTATTGGCAAGTTCTACCCTTCGCTTCTGAGATTTACAAACTATATTAAAATAATGCAAGTAAAAAATAGTGACAAACCATACATTTTCCGATAACGACAAAACGTGGATGCAAAACAATACCAATAATTACAATAACCACCACGGTGATTACTTTTTAACAATGAGTTAAGGATTAACATTTAACACTGAAAATGCAAAATATGCATGGTGTGCTGTGAAGCGTCATAAGTCCTATTGAGCATTGATCTACTGTAACTGTATAAAGCCCTTTCGATACATGTAATTGTAAATTTGTATTCTTACATGCAGGGCTTGAAATAACGTTCCCAAAGTTCCCGATCATGGTGATCAGCAGTCGTGACTTTCCCTGCTTTTTTCAGGTTGGAAACCGAAACCCTGCTTTTCCGAAGTACGGCCTGATACTCAGGTCACCGCCGATCATAAGCAATTCCTTGCCGATCATTGATCGGTGATCGGTTGTTATTTCAAGCTCTGTCTTAACAATTTTGAATTGATACTGATTTCAAATGATTAAAGCCATGTAATAATTATCCCATGGAACTGTTAGGAAGGGCGAAATTTTGAACGGAGGACGAAAATCCTAAAGAAAAGGTGAAGTTTCTAAAGGGGGGCGAATTTCCTAAAGGGGGGCGAAATTCCTAGGATTTTCGCCCCCCTGGGGGGGGGGGCGATATTCCTAGGAATTTCGCCCCCCGGGGGGCGAAAATGTAGGCGGGGCGAAAATCCTGGGACACCGGCTGACCGGGCGCCACGTTTGAGTCAAGTGGGATCCCAGCTAAACGGGCTGGCCCGGTTTGTCATGTAAAGTAAAATTGCTTTGTGTTGGAAATTACCATGAAGCCGGGCGCCCCGTTTAAGCGAGCCAGCCCAGCAAACCGGGCTCATGTAAACAGCCCCTAAAAGCTCACTTTTCTCGATTTTCGTGACACGTTCTTCCAGTTCGAAATTTCCTTTTACTGATTCGAGACGGATATCGTACTGGGAAAATTTGGAATTGGAAGTACCCATTTAAGTTCAACTAATCTGGCGGAAACGTACACCCGAGTGACTGATGCCACTGTCTAATAAGGCACGGTATTTCAATCCACCGACATTAACTACCACGATTGGATGAACTACGGTAGTTGGAGGCAATTTATTTGTTCCATTTCCCAAATTGGTTAAATTAACGAAGTCATCGCCAGTTCACTGTTGTTTTCAGGGTTTAAGCAAATGGACGTACCTGTATGATGCCGTACGTTTCTTTACATTTTTGGCAGGAAATTTTACTTTTACAGATGCTGGCTGCGTGTTGCCCCGAGGCACAATTAAAACAAAGCTTGTTATTAGCCAAATATTTCTTGAGTGCTTCCGGTGATGAAATTACATTACACTGGGTGCCTGGGTGGTCTTATGAAGAAGAAGTATTTATTTATCCCTTTTTTGAAATCTGGTTACATATTAACTTTTAATTTTGTAGGGTTTCTGGCCACCAGAAATAACCGTATAGGGTTAAAATGCCTAGCGGCCAGATAAGTGAAATTGTTAAAGAATAAATAAATAATTACATATACATATACATATAGTCACACAAAACAAAAAAAAACACTTAGTTGTAAATTATCATGCAATAGTACATTTATGATAGGTACTTTGACAATAAACACACACAATAGAATCACGCGAGTGAAATGAACTCCCGCTCGGGATTTCCGGTCGCCTAGGGTTTTCGTTTTTCGGTTTTAATAAACGCATTTGTCTCCGTCCCTTTTCTTAAAGCCTCGACTACAGTTCTGAAAATGAAAAAACATGCGTGACATGCGTGAAACATGCGTGACTAACTCGGCTTTTAAAATCTCTAATTTCTTACTTGTGATGTATAAAAAGGAAGCATCTTCAATCGTCTCAATTTCCCCAGTGTGCGGAGACTCTCGACATTGAACAATAGTTGTTCACAAAATTTTTACGCGGAACTAATAGCCTACGTGGAACAACGAGTTCCTTTAGGTGAGAAAACTTGGTGATAGCTGGTACTTGTTGACTATCTACCGGCATCGCATTGAATTGACCTTCAAACCGAACCCAATCCAAAAGAGTGCCATTGAATTTGGTTATTGTAAGTTTCGGTATTTTACTGCCGCAAAGGATTTCACACTGAGCTCCTTTTGTTTGAATTCGGCTTCAAGCTTTTGTTTTACCAATTGTTTTTCAAATTCAATCACAGTTTCTGGCCGTTTGGCTTCTCCAGCCGCTTTAAATTCATCGTCAATCGCTTTAGCGCACTTACATAGTTCAGCGCAGGATTTATCGGCGTGGGAAAGCTCTTGCGCGATCTCCTGGGACCATGTTGTGACCATTTCTTCCGGTTCACCCGCACTAAATTTTAGTTCTTCGATAGAGCTAGCTAGGATCGAAGATCTTCGACAGCTTTAGTTAAATTCAAAATGGTAATCCGGTGTCGTTCGGCGGCTTCTCTATCACGTTTTGTTATGATTTCCTCTGCTTGCTTTAGTTTAAGACGTATAATTTTGAGCTTAGAGTCTATTTCTGTGAGCTGCTTTTTCATGGACATGATTTAAGTCGCGGTTTTTCACAGTCTCGAATGGTCACGCAAGGCTTTTCATGGCACAAAGTTACCAAATCACGAGTCACAAACTTGTACGTTTTAAAATTTTTTTTTTTTTAAATAGTCAACAAGTACAAAATTATTATTAATTCCAACCCCAATCACTAAGATTATAGCACCTAAAAGATTCACGTGATATATGTCACGTGATATAGTTTCCGACACTGCGAGGTTTAGATTTGAATTCCACTATCGCTACCTACCTCTGAAGTACACATCTGATTGGTTTATCGGATATATCAAACGCATCTGATTGGTTAATAGTGTAGAAGTCAAATCTGAACCTCACTATTACTTGTGTAGAATTATTCCATTATTCTTTATTCCAAAGCTTTCAAACGTTTACAATCGGCAAGTATGCATCATATATGAAACATATTATTACTCAGTTTTTGCCTTGCATAGCCCGATTTCGTTCCTTTTCCCAATTTCCCCCTCTCACATTCAGTTTATAACGTCTATATATAACGTAATTTACAAAGAAAAACGATCTTATAAACCATTACTAAAATACGTTACACTAGCTGTACTACGTACAATAATATTAGAATGTTATATATATAATTAACATTCCTACTAGTTTCTCCAGAGGTCGGTCTGTCTCTCTCTACGCTATCATTACCAAAGTTCACATTAACATTCCTACTAGTTTCTCCAGAGGTCGGCCTGTCTCTCTCTACGCTACCATTACCAAAGTTCACCCTTGTTTCTCCGGTGAAAACGTCGGAAAGATTAGCACTTGCAAGAAAGGGAGAGAAGTTTAGTCGAGGTAAATAATTTCGCCAACGGAAATCGAAAATCCTCAAAATTATTTCTTTTTCGTCTTTGGAACCCCACCAATTGTATTTACCGTCAATTTCGTGTGGCCTGAAAGTTTGCGACAGCGTGAATATCAATTCCCAAGCGAAGAGTGGGTTTTCAAAGAAATTCTCATTGATAGACGTCGGTATGATTCTGCTGGAGCAAATTACAGCAGCCACGTCGTTGGTGGCATTGTAAGGTAACGATAGATCATGTCGACGAAGGCCATTGGCAATCAGACTATTTCTGGTGAAGTTAAAACTGTCCACAACATAACGTTGTCCAGTAACAAGGTTAAAGATGCTTTTATCAACTTCATTGTGCATCATGCTATTGTCGTGAATGACAACCTTCCGACTAGTTCTGATGACGTTAACCAATTTTTCAGCTGTGTTATTGAAAAAGCTGTTATGTAATAATGAAGTATCACCGGCAACTCTGTAATGTGCTAAATATGGAATATCACTGCCAATAACAAGATTAAAGATACTTTTATCAACTTCATTGTGCACCATGCTGTTGTTGCGAATGACAACCATCGGACCGTTTCCACTGATGTCAACCAATTTCTCGGCTGTGTTATTGAAGAATCTGTTATGTAATAATGAAATATCATTATTATAACCTTGTAATGATGCAACAATTGCACTTTTTTCTAAAACATTCCTTTGAAGAAAATTTGAGCTAAGGATGATGCTTGTCGACCGGTATTGGATGCCAACAATTCCCCTGCCAGAAGTGTACAAGAATTGGATGTTAACAATCCCTCCACCTATGTTGTCAAGAAAGTCATTTTCCATTAACAAGGCGTCAAAGTTGTAACCAGAACAATACCAAACATTGGTTCGCTTTAATATTACTGAGGTACTTCGCATTTGATTGTATCTCCAGTAGTTATTCGCTAGAGAAATTGTTTGTAAACTGCGAGGCCTATTTGGGCAAGAATATTCCACGTCAACCAGATTCTCGCAAGTATTATTAAGAATGTCGTTATTGGCGATCTTAATTACAGATCTTGCAACGTCAGATCGGATGAAAAGTTTCAATATCTTCGTTGCGTTGTTGTTATAAAAGGTGTTTCCATTTGCATAGAAAGAGACATTGTAATTGATGAATGATACGAGTACGCACGTTGCATAAGCCGAGTCACCATTGTCTTGAAATGTATTGTTTAATAGTTGCACTGCAGATCGTTCTCCCGACACGGATATACAATTTGCATTTGCATTTGTTATAAGACAATTTTTTATGATCGTCGTGTCGTGATTCACATCAAGACTGATTCCCGTGTTCGTAAATCGACGTATAGTTACGTTCGAAATCACGTGGATGTTGCTTTGCAGTGAACTTCCTGAAACAAAAGAAAGAACATATTTTCTTCAATCTTGGTTATTGAGTGTTAAGGTTAAATTCAGGATTGCTTGTGAAAATATGCTATCCTAAATCTTAGATACAAGTTTAAAAGTTTGATCGCTGTGTAGGCAGTGAGTGTGGTTGCGATTGACATTTGACAGCAACTAATCAACATGAGCTCTACCTTCGAATTTGTTATATGAATAAAATTAATGTTAAACTCGTCCGAATTTAGTTATACAATAACAGGCCTACTCTGGGACCTTAACTCGCCTTAACTCGCCCTAACTCGCCTTATCTCGCCCTATCTCGCAATAGAAATTGATCGAATTTTGCTTAACTCGCCCAATCTCGCCTTATCTCGCAATGAGATTGCTTAACTCGCCTAAACTCGCCCTATTTTGCAATAAAAACCGGCACAGTTTCACGTCAGTAAAACTGACACAAATACTGTCAATCAAAATTCTTTAGACTCACAATACTCACTTATATATTCTATGAGTTTGGCATTGCAACTGACATCAACATACAAGTATGTAAACCTGATTATCTGAAATGTTATCATATTTTTAATTTACTACATTCTCTGTAATGCCATAAAGCTGTATTGATCAAATAATTCCACCAACTACTCTACTTTAATACAGTAGGCAGCAGTGCCTTTTTTAAGGAATTTTCACTGGGGCGGCAAAACCGAAAAAAAGGCAGAACGAAAAATATGAGCCGTCGAGGTTTGGCGAACGCGCGACTGGCGCGAGTCTGAAGAAAGATTTTGTAATACTTTAATTTATTAACTTCAGCTATATTTTACTTTAAACGATAACTTCAACTCTTTGTAGCTATAATTGTACAGCTATAACCCTTGGCGTAGCCAAACCTTAATTTTGCGGGGGGCGAACCTCACGAAGGCGTGAGACCGTCTGGAGGGTCCGGGGTCCGGAAACTTTTGAAATCTACGGTCCCTGAATTGCGATTTCATGCATTTTGGGATTTATGACGCAGCACCCGAAATTATACAAAATCCTGACGTGAAGGATCAGAGAAAATCTAAGATTTCCCCTTGCATCCAACACCACTTTGCACCCTGTCCCAATAACTTCTCCATCAAAGATCCTTTCTCCAGGTCTCGGGACGAGATACACGTTTACCGGAGAACAGATCGCAAAAACGAGCCTTCATTGTCTATCGAAGACCACCGTTTTCTCGAAGTTATGGAATCGAGTGCGCGGAAGAACGAAGCTAGCCCGCGTGCAGGCCCAAGGGAGCAGGCTCAAGGGAACTTGATAGTGGGCCTGCAAGCAAGGCCCGGTATTTTATACTTTCCGCGTTCGCCCACGAACGCGGCATTCTGATTGGCTGTTTGCTGTTAGATTCTATAATTAGATAAGTGATTCATCACAAAGGCTCTCGATAAGCTTAAAATTCGAAAATTGATCACTTTTTTCGATTATAAATGGAACAAGAACAGACTGTTTATTGTTTACTTGAAGGAAGAGATGTTTTTGCCGTTATGCCAATGGGGATTGCTTGTCGTGAGGTGTTGGAATAGCACTCATTACGACTGGGGTAAACTATAGTAACCTTTACTTGAGTTTCATTAATTTCAAACAGACTTGATACGTTATATGTTCCTCAAGAAAATTATCTTTTGGTTGATGTTGAGATGCAGTTGCATTTAAGCCTATTCGAAACACTTTGCGATTTACAAGGCTTCGCTGAGAGAGCGAAACAGAAGACGGTATTAAATTGCCGTTTGAAACGAAACGATCTGGACTCTGAACGCTCTCTTCTTTTGTAGAGTTCTTTACCAAATGAAATAACTGAAATAAATTTCGTACTTTCCGCCGCCAACAAGAATTGCACACATGATCTGATAAGTGAGACAATTTATTTATAACAATGGCAACAGCGAAGCACACATTATAAATGCTAATGTGGTCGCACGACTTCCCTCACGATTTGAAGTTTGAGACTGGTTTTCTGTTGAAATTCGTCCTAATTTGCCTGTTCCGATTTTAGTTGAAAATGAGCACTTGCAAATTTGGCAATTACTGACTGCGTTGCTTGCTTTTTTGGAGTTAAAACGCAGCCATTTACACATTGTTTATGTTCTGAATAAGCAGAGAAAACCCCGCAACATTTTAATGCGAGTTTGTTTGTTAATATTTGGGTGCTGTCATTGGTTCTTTTTCGACAATTGACGCGCGAATGGGGCGTGTTATGAAAAGGGGCGTTTTACAAAATACCGGGCCTTGCTTGCAGGCCCACTATCAGTTCCCTTGGGCCTGCACGCGGGCTAGAACGAAGCGAGAAATTGGGAACTTCTCTTACCTATCAAAGCAAATGATGTGAGTTTCCCGAATAACAGAGAATTCGTTCTTAACCGTCTCAAGAGCCTAATCAGATCATTCCAGAGAAAACCACAACTGGAGGAAGACTACTTTAAGTTCATGGCAAACCTCTTTCAACGCGGTCATGCTCAAACTGTCTAAGCCAGTCCACCGCTGAAAGATGCAACCTACACTTCTAAACGTGACAATATATGGTACCTGCCCCATTTTGGTGTGTATCATCCCCGTAAGCCAAACAAAATCCGGGTAGTCTTTGATTCGTCAGCAGTATTCCAAGGCATTAGTCCCTGAATCGCGAGCTTCTCTCTGGTCCTGATTTACGTAATAATCTTTTGGGGATCCTAATCAGATTTAGAAGAAAATAAATCGGTGTTATGTGCGACATCGAGCAGATGTTTCATGCTTCCTACGTTTACCCTCCGCATCGAGATCTAATGCGCTTCTTGTGGTATAAAGATAATGACAAAGAAAACGAAATCGTTGACTACAAGATGACTGTGCATATCTTCGGAAACACCTCAAGCCCAGCAGTAGCAACATTTGGATTACGGAGGACGGCAGATGAAGGGAAGGAAGAATTTGGTGATGCAGCGAACAAGTTTGTCCTTGACGACTTCTACGTGGACGATGGAATCACATCTTGTGACACCGTAGGCGAAACTCTGCAGTTGATAAAGAACACACGAGATATGTTACACACAGCAAACTTGCGTTTACACAAAATTGCGTCGAATTCTCCAGAAGTGATGAAATTATTATCTCCGCAGGATAAAGTAGAGAATCTACGTAACCTTGATCCCAGTCACGACCCTCTCCCTCAACAACGATCGTTGGGTGTAGTATGGAACATAGAAAAGGACGCCTTCACATTCCAAGTGCTTCTACCAGAGAAACCGTTCACACATAGAGGTGTTCTAGCGATCGTTAATTCCATATACGACCCACTAGGGTTTGCAATCCCTACCACCCTGCAGGGAAAATTGCTTATTCGCGAACTTGTCCAGTTAGGGAACACGAAAGGCGAAAACAAGATTCTCGGATGGGACGATCCCTTGCCCAATGATCTCCTAAAGAAGTGGTTAAAGTGGCGAAATTCTCTTGTTGAATTAAACGAATTATCTATAGCTAGATGTTATCACCCGAGTGATTTTGGTAAGATAAGACAATTTGAGATCCATGCGTTTTCAGACGCCAGTGAAGGAGCCATCGCCACAGTAATGGCTACGTAAAGTTGGTCAGTGTAGAAGGACATATCAGTATTTCTTTATTATACGCTCAAGCGAAGCTTTCTCCGAAGCAAGCGACAACCATTCCCAGGTTGGAGCTCTGCGCTGCAGTTCTGAGCGTCAACGCCGTCAAGTGGATAACTAGGGAATTAAAGTTAATCATCACAAATATCGTATTTTATACCGATTCTAGAGTGGTGCTCGGTTACATCCAAAGTGAAAGTAGGCGTTTCTATGTATACATGGCTATAATCGTGTCGAAATTATCAGAAGTATCTCCAATCCGAACCAATGGAGGTTTGTTGAATTAAAGGATAATCCGGCAGATATCGCGACTCGTGGTAAAACACCTTTAGATTTGAAAAACTCTCTCTGGTTCAGAGGGCCTGATTTCCTCAAAGTCGATGATCCCTTTACGGCCCCCTGTCGTGTCCCCCTTAGCACCACCTACAATAACGTTTACTAGCATGCCTTTGAGTGTTCTAAATCGTCCTCGAAAAGTGAAAAGCAACATTTCAAATCAAAATCATTGTGTAAATAGAAATAATCTGATACACATTCAAACCTGTCCAATCGATCAGATATCAGTTCCCTCTAGTCTCAACATTGTTCACTTAAACATTCGCTCGTTAAGAAATATCGTTCACCTTACTGAGGTCAAGGAACTAGTAAAGTTAAATAATATCGATGTCCTCACAATTTCCGAATCGTGGTTAAATTCCTCAGTAACGAACCGTGAGATTGCAATCGACGATTATAAGATCCACAGACTTGACCGGTTACACAAGAAAGGTGGAGGTGTCTGTGCTTATATCAAGAAGAATATTAAAGCAACTGTCTTAAAAGATTTATCGAAGGTGTCAGTCTCTAACTTTCATCAAGTATGGATAAATCTACAATGCCAAAAAAACAAATCAATAATAATTTGTGTAACCTACCGACCACCTGACACTTCTCTAAATTGTTTCGAAGATTTACTTAAGCCAAATTATGTTCAGGCTTTAACTTTGAATAAACAGATTTTAGTGCTCGGTGACTTAAATTGTAACATGCTAGAAAACGGCCAGGAGCGGAGAGCGCTGACAAATTTTTCTACAGAATTAAATCTCACACAGATTATTAAAACTCCAACTAGAATCACGGCGACGTCCCAAACGCTTATTGATGTTATTCTAGTCTCATCCACAGCACTTGTTCTTGAGAGTGGTGTTATTAACACTTCTATCAGTGACCACTTACCAGTGTACGTCCTACTAAAGTTAAAGGCCCCAAAGATGCCAGCATGTTATATTACAACTAGGAGTTATAAAAACTATAATCCCTCACTATTTTCCTCTGACCTTGTCACTAAATCGGATCGTCTGTTATCCATATTATCCAACACCAACGTTAATACAATACTCGAAACCTTCAAAGATGTTCTTCACTCAACTCTCGACGTGCATGCACCGTTAAAAACCTTCAAAATTCGAAATCGATCATGTCCATATGTCACCAATGAAATAAAAGAACTCATGAAGTCTCGGGACCTACACCTCCGTCAGTTTCAACTGACACGTGCTGAAGGTGATTGGGTAGTTTACAAAGAATATCGTAATAACGTAAAAACCAAAATTAAAGCCGCAGCGAAGGACCACACCTTCAACGAAGTAAGAGAACATAAACACAATTCGAGATCCCTATGGAAAATAATTAATAATATAATTCCCTCGAAGGAAAAGGAAACACAAGTTTATAGTAAAGATCCAAAAACAGTTGCAGAAGATTTCAACCTTTTTTTTACTTCTGTGGGACGGAACGCTGCTGCGACAGCCGAAAGTTTAGCCAAAGACAACAATGTTGCACTGTCAAATCCTCTGTCAAATGTAATCACTTATCCATCTGATCAACTGTTCAATTTCCAATCCGTTACTTGTACAGAGGTTAAACGCATTATCATGGCTATGCCAAGTAATAAGTCACCAGGACCAGATAAAATAGGCATGCGTGTCATCAAAGACTGTCTTCCAATCATACTGGGTCCTCTTACGCATATGATAAATTGCTCTCTAATGACAAGCACATTCCCTGACCTATGGAAGATTTCTGAAGTTATACCCCTACTAAAAGAAGGAGACCACGAGATAGCCTCAAACAATCGGCCTCTCTCACTACTCGAGGTAGTTTCAAAAGTTTGTGAAAAAGTTGTTCTAAATCAATTTAGCTCCTACCTCAAAAAATTTAATCGCATATCGTCACATCAAAGCGGGAATAGGAGTCTTCACTCCACCGAAACCTTAAACATATTTGTTACCGATACGATGTTGGAAGCCATAGACAACAAAAATCTAACGGCACTAATTTTATTGGATTTATCCAAGGCATTTGACAGTGTCAGTCATTCGATTTTATTACACAAATTGAGTTGTATCGGTGCTTCACCCGAAGCTGTTAAATGGTTCCAAGACTATTTAACAGGCAGATCCCAATACGTGCGCATTGGATCCACCAAGTCATCAGCTCGCCCAATAACCCATGGCGTTCCACAAGGTGCAATACTATCACCACTTCTGTTTTGCATCTATATTAATGATCTGCCAGGGAGCATACAATCGTGTAACCTTGATTCATACGTAGACGACTCAAAGCTTTACAAATCATTCTGCATCTACGACTTGGAACAGACAACTATCAATTTAGAGGCAGATCTACAAATAGCAGCCAAGTGGTGTTTGGAGCACCAATTACTGATCAATCCAGAAAAAACTAAATTCCTTGTAGTCGGTTCAAGACCCATGCTGCAGAATGTACCTACAGAAATATCGCTAACATTTTTAGGAAAGACTGTAAGACCTGTTTTATTAGCTAAAGATTTGGGTATCAATTTGGATTCGTACCTATCCTACGACGACCACATATCTAAACTCGTTTCGTCGTGTATGAGAAAACTATGTCAAATAAATCGTGTGAAGGATAGTTTCGATAATGAAACATTAGAATTGGTCATTGAGACACTTGTAATTAACAAGCTTCTGTACTGCTCTACGGTGTGGTCCAACACGTCATCTAACAATATCAATAAACTTCAATCAGTGCAGAACTTCGCGTGCAGAGTTATATCAGGGGTAGGAAAGTTCGATCACATAACTCCGGCGTTGCGCGAACTAAATTGGTTGCCAGTGGAAAAGTTATTATTGGAAAGGGATACTGTAATGGCTTACAAGTGTTTTAATGGACTTGCACCTGACTACCTAGTAGATAAATTTATAAAGCGTTCCGACATACATGATCGATCGACAAGAAATCATGACCTCTTGGACATCCCTCTGTATAAATCTGCTACAGGTCAAAGAACATTTAATTACCGGGGTGTTAAAATATGGAATGATTTGGATGATAAACTAAAAAATATTACATCAATAACAATTTTTAAGAAAAAACTTAGGGAGATTTTACTAAAAGAATCCTATTAAATACATTTAATATTTTATACTCTTTGTACATATTTTAACTAATTTTAAATAAGTATATGTAACATAGGTAGTTTTAGAAGTAATTTATAGTAATTTTAATATGTAATGTAGTGTTGAAAAGCCCTTAGGGGAACACGCAATAAAGTATCTATCTATCTATCTATCTATCTAATGACAAGCTGCCAAAAGATGGTTTCTTTCATTGTTTTTGGTAACCTTTTTGTTTTCATTGGTAATCTTCCATTTTGTCTGTCGCAAAGCGAATATTTTTTCCGAAATATTGCAACAAGGAAAGGTAAGAAGGTTCTTGTATGACGCAGTTTGAAAGATGTTTTGAGAACAATTATATACATTTTGCATGATGCAGTTCGAAAGATGTTTTGAGAACAATTATATATATATATATATATATATATATATATATATATATATATATATATAAGAGCTACACAAATTTTTCGAGCAATTTGACCTTAAAATCACCGCCGAAGTAAATATGAATGTTGTAAATTTTTTAGATGTTACTTTCGACCTGATCAACGCAAAACACAAACCATACAGGAAACCCAATGACGAACCATTGTACATCCACAGACACTCAAACCATCCACCAAGCATTACAAGACAATTACCTACAGCTATCAACAAACGCATTGCACTTCTCTCATCGGACGAACAAACATTTAAGGAATCCACACCTATTTACCAGAACGCTCTTACACATAGTAACTTTGATCATGAATTTACGTACACTGTGAATGCACCGCAACGGACACGTAGGAATAGGCAACGCAACATAATTTGGTTCAACCCACCATTTAGTAAGAGCGTTAGCACGAACATAGGACGGGAATTCTTAAGTTTAATTGACAAACACTTCCCGCTACAGCACAAACTACACAAGATTTTTAACAGAAACACTTTAAAAGTAAGCTACAGTTGCATGAACAACGTTAAGTCTATAATCACCAAACACAACGCACATATAATTAGGAACAGTCAATCACAGAATCCGGAAACTGACAACTGTAACTGCGACAACAAAAACACTTGCCCACTACCGAAACAATGCATGACCAACAACATTATTTACAAAGCAACAGTTACAACGAACAACACGAACGACACTAAACACTACATTGGTATGACAGCGACTACATTTAAGGAACGTTACGCTAACCACACTTCATCTTTTCGTCATAAAAAAGACTCAAACAAAACGGAACTTTCGAAACATATTTGGAAATTAAAAGAAAACAATCAGGATTATACCATCAAATGGTCAATTTTAAAACACGCTATTTCGTACACAGGGGATCAAAACGCTGCAATTTATGTTTGGAAGAAAAATTTTGCATTTTGAAAGACATAAACAAAGACAATTTACTCAATAAAAGAAGCGAAATTTTCGGCAAATGTCGTCACAAAAACCGGTTTCGAGTAAACAAGGTCGTTAACAAAACCTAATGACCCAAGCATGCATTGTTTCTCCTAAGCATTGTTTCGCGTACACGCATTTCGCACATTCTTTCGACAGCATAAAAGCAACCT